TTGCCGGCCAATCAGACACAGCCACGGTGCACTGCTTGGGTGCTTGGGAGCGCCGGATTGGCTCCCAGGCACCAGCATCCTCCATCCCATTTCCGAAACGGGCGGAAGCTCGTTAAAAGGATGGGGGATGCCGCTTTGTTATTTTTAAACCCTTCCGGGTTTGAAAATGTGTTTTGTTATCGTTTCGTAAATGCTAAAAATAACGAATAATTAACGAATTACAAAATTAACGAACGAAACCGCCCAGGCCTACTAGAGAGCACTGTGGACTCAAGCAATGATAGATCTGGACCAAACTTAGCACAAATAATCAATATGCCCAAATGTGGAGTTTGGGGAAAATAGAACTTGACATTTGTGAGTTGTTGCTGCTGGGATTTCACCTACAACCAAAGAGCATTCTGAACCACATCAACAATAGAATTGGGCCAAACTTCCCACACACAACCCCCATGCCTTGAAGGTACTTGCTGGCACGAGCCCCCCTCTAGCCTCATACGCTCTCCCTCTCCACACACGTGTTCACCTCGCTGCCATGCGCCGAGCACACCTGCTCTCCTGTTCCCGCTTGGAGTCTCAGAAACAGCCCTCCTCTTGACTGAGAAGCTGCTGAGAGGCTGGCCAATCACAGTGAAGGAGGGCTTTTGGTGGGAGGATTCGCCGTGTGTTTCCAAAAAGGAAGTGAAGGACAGGCGGAGAGATCTTCAGTTTTCTCTGCCAAAGGAGTTCCTAAGACCGTCAGAAATATGTGTTTTCTGATCGTCTTAGGCGACCCCTTTGAAACCCCCTTGTGGTCCCCCAGGGGTCCCGACCCACAGGTTGAGAAATTCTGGTTTACAGAAAGGTCAGGGGTTTTTTTTTTAAAAAAGAGTTCCTGCTCTTTTTACTAGTAAAATCATTCTAAGCAGTAAAATCATTCACAATATGTGATTAGAGTACATACTATATGTAATATAGTAGTGTGGCAAGGGGTTATACTGGATGTTCCATGTGGTCTTTTCCAGCTCTGTGATCCTGTTATACCACTTCAATTGCTGTGAATGCATCATGTGGAATTCTGGGTTTTGTAGTTTGGTCAGACACCAGAGCTCTCCTATTTCTAATTTCAAAACCCCAAGATTCCATAAGTTAAAGCCATGGCCATTATAATGGAATCATCTATATAAATAAAAATGTAATGTTTGTTTGTGGGATTAACATAACTCAAAAAACACTGGATGAATTGACACCAATTTGGACACAACACACCTATCAGGCCAACGAGTGACCATCACTCATAAAGACACTGAAAAACACAGCAGAAGAGACTTTAAAAGCCAAAAAACAAAAAATACATTACAATGCATGTGCAAAACCACATATATACACATATAAACAAGTACATATACACACATATATACACATATACACAAAACACATATACACAGACTGGGCCACAGCAACGCGTGGCAGGGGGCATCTAGTTGTGGTATAAATATGTAGTGTGAAAGGGCCCTAGAAATCTGTCTGGAGGAAACTACTGCTCCCAGGATGAAATGCTGGATCCAGTCCCATGTTCTTGATTAATTTAAACTAATCTGAAATGTTTAAAAACACGAAACAAAGATTTATGTTGGTTTCTGACGCTGTCAGGATAATATGTTCCACGAATTGGAAAAAGAATCTTTTCTCTTTAGAGTATTAATTAGCCTGATTGCATGAACAAAGGGGCATTCAACAAGCTGTTAACAAATCTCTCCTAATTAATTTTTGGAATACATCCCAAATTGATTTCTGGTTATTTATTACTTGCTAATGCTTTAGAGAACAAAAATATTTGTGGGCCCTTTATTTTCAATATTCCCCTTTCATGATACATGCATATGTTTTATATATGCTTCTATGTATTCTGGACAGATTTTTTTTCCAGAGTCTGCAATATTCTTTGGTTTATGGAAACTGTGTTAGTCTCTTTTCTGAAGTAGACTGATCTCTTCCTGTATTAAATAAAGCAGTCTTAGATTAAATTACTTTATTTTCATTTTAAAATGACCTTTTGCTGCACTATTAATCCTCTCATAAGGGATTCATAAATAAAATCTGTACCAGTGAAACCTTGTCATATTTCAAGTCGTGAGGAAGAGGAGCTTGTGTGCAATAAGGTGGTATCAGAGACAGCAAAAGGAAGAAATTCTTTATGAGGAACTTCTGGAGGAATTAAACAGGAAGAGGGATTGTTGCTGGGAGTGGAACATAATGTATCCTTGCAAAATGTGCATCTAGAGCCCATTTCCTAAAACCCTTAATCTGAGATATCTCCAATCTGCAAATTATAGTAGAGCAGGGGAAACAAAAATTATCAAGTGAAAGCATCCTGCCTGTCCTTGGAGGGACCCTTCAATTGGCTTAATTTGTGCAATTTACATTCTAGTAATTCTAAATGTGTGTGTGTATCTGTGTGTCACTACATGAGGTTTCCCAGAAATTAGTATCAAAAGCTTATGCTCAAATTGTTTAAATACCGTGCAGTGCTCCTCCTTGGCTAAAAGGAAGAAATATAATTATAGGTATAATACATTTGCAATTAACTGGATATAAATGTTTCTTTACTATCATATGTCAACATTTTACAATACTCTAAAGATCATGTCAGAACCATTATCTTTATCCCTATCTTACAGATAATTAGCTGAAACTGAAATGTAGAGTATGAAACCTCCTTTTTCTTCCTGTTTTTTTTGTTTTTTGTTTTTTTTTTTGGTGTCAGGAGTGATTTGAGAAACTGCAAGTCACTTCTGGTGTGAGAGAATTGGCCATCTGCTAGGACGTTGCCCAGGGGACTCCCGGATGTTTTTGATGTTTTACTATCCTTGTGGGAGGCTTCTCTCATGTTCCCACATAGGGAGCCGGAGCTGACAGAGGGAGCTCACCCATTCTCTCCCCGGATTCGAAGCCCCGACCTGTCAGTCTTCATTCCTATCAACGCAAGGGTTTAAACCACTGCGCCACTGGGAGCTCCTCTCCTGCTTAATAGTTGCTTGCTATAGCTATGGTAGTATGGAAGAGGAGTGTCACATGATTCAAGCGATGCCGTGTGCTGTGCCTCATGTTGCTGCATTCCAGTATTTATTTTTAAAGAAACTCTTTGAGAAGTGGAAAAGTCAAGATTTACCTTTTGAAGATTTTAAAGGAACTATAATGTTTTGGTCTTTAGAATAACACTTTTTAAAGAGTAACTCCAACAGATGATAGCACACGACACAATGTTGGAAACAAATGCTAGCATTATGCTTCTATATCTATGAAATAAGGACAGTTTGCATCTTCAGACTGGCATCATATCTGTCCATATTGACTACAGTTGTTCAATGTTCATGAAGATTTGTCACAGACTGGTAGCCAAGAGCTTGCAGTGAGCAACAGTCCACAGTCCAGCACTGTACTTGCATATTTGTAAAGCTTACCTTACCTGAAAGTTTTTAGCACATCCTTCTTGTGTTTGACTTGCTTGCCTCTGGCTACATCATTGCCATTCAAAGATTAGCAACTGGTGGAACCCGTGTTCGTTATTATGGAACTCTGCCCATACCTTATCCTTCATGCAACTTGACAACCTGTCAGTCTCTAAGAAACGAACAAGGACTTAACCTGATCCAGAAGTGCATTTCCTGAGTGCATCACAACTCCAGGCATCTGGGGGGATCACATTTGCAGGCTCTGAGATTCCTTTCCCTTTCCCAGAGGATCCCACAGTTTTTACACACTTCAGGGAGGGAGAAGCAGAGAACCCATTGGGGTTCTCTGCTTGGGGGAAAGGAGGACATACAACCCCCTGTACATAATAACATTAACGGGTCCCATCAGCACCTCCTTAAGGGACTTGGGGAGGGGGGTGCAGGCCAATGAGAGGCTAAGAACCTAGGGCAGTGGTTCTCAACCTGTGGGTCTCCAGGTGTTTTGGCCTACAACTCCCAGAAATCTCAGCCAGTTTGCCAGCTGTTAGGATTTTTGGAACTGAAGGCCAAAACATCTGGGGAACCATAGGTTGAGAACTACTGATCTAGGGACTCATACACTTCATATATCATATACTTTATATACCATTCCTCATGATCAGGGCCTTATACCATGTCAACACTTATCAGCTGTAACCAATTAAGTTATGGCTATTTTCTCTCCAGTTGTGCTTGTGTTTGTTTTTTGTTAGGCTCCAATTGGACCCAGGCATGTATTTTGCAATATACAAACTGCAATGCTAAGACTTAAACAGGTCACACATGATGATAAAGCTATATTTGGTTTAGGAAAATGACTGTATATGAAGATAAGCCCTCAATATTAAGACCCAAATTGCAACATCATACTAAACAGCAACAGTATGAAACTGCTCATTGGGGCCATAACACTTTTTAATATTCTGCTACTTCAGCAACAGCAGTTTGTATACTAGTAATCAGTTTTTCTTCAAGAAATATTTTATACCTACAGTTGTTTTTGGATAGAAAAGTCAAAATTATTTTTTTTATATAATTAATTAATTTCTGTCCCACTTTCCTCCCAGATTGGATTGGAACTCAAAGTGGAAAACAACATGTAAACAAAACACTGCATATCATAAAAATAAACCTAATCATCAGACTATTGTCCCATGCTGTATTCAATTCTAGGACACCATCTATTATAAGGCACACACTAATTTAAGTACCATCACCAATAAAAAATGTCCTAAGATGATGCACCTGTGATTCTAATACACACCCCATTTTTAGAAATGTTTTAGAAATGTTTAAATGGGGGGGGGGGTGTTGAAGAAATATGGTACCTTTGCTCTTATGTAGTTTTTAGGAACACGAGACTGGAACAGTTCTATTTAAATCACTTGGGGAAAGAAGTTATATATCAGTAGAATATCTAATACTGCTTCAGTTACTGTGGGAAAGGAATCTAACAGCAAGAGTGGTCTCCTGAATGGTAATGTTTGTGGATATGCAACAGTTTAATATGTGAAACTTTTATTTTAGGGAGGTACCTACGAAAGATGCCAAAGATTATGCAGAAACTATAGGTGCAATTGTTGTTGAGACGAGTGCCAAAAATGCAATTAACATTGAAGAACTTTTTCAAGGAATCAGTAAGTAAAAACAAAATTTGAATTTATGCATTTGTTTTTTATTTGTAATGGAATGGCTTGGTATTTTGGCAAAACCTTGCTAAATAATTGATGACCTTAATGTTTTTTACATGGAAGATGGGAAAAAAAGTTAGGATGCAACTGAAGCTTAAACTATAGTTAAGAATTTCATAACTCTTGGAAGATATGAATGTATGAAATCATAGAATATGCAAAATAATACATATGTTTATCTTACGTACCAGAATTATCTAAAACATTTTGAATAACATCTGTAAGATAATAAATACCCAGTCAGGAGAATGGTTAAGCTAAGAGTCCTTCAATTTACACATGCAGAAGTTTAAAAGATAATATCTGAAAAGTAACCAAATATAGGTGTATTTCCAGTCCACATAAGTTACCACTATAGCTATAGTAATAGAGAAGTAATTCTTTACTTTCCTCTTTTTCAGCCATAACTAATAGTTAATCTAACCACATTGTGTTTTTTTTTTTAAAAAAAAACTTTAAACATAATATAGAATCCTTTTGTCTGCCTTGCTATTGTCTTTATACCCATCAAAAACACAAGGTTGTTCAGGAGCCAACACTTAAATCACGTCTTATTTCCCCTCTACTATTTACCACAATCCCATATTTACAAAAGTAATGAGTTACACTTCATTGAATTACAATGGGGTTTAGTTATAACCTCATTATGCACACAAATACCCTCATTACAAGTCACATCTTATTTACAAAAAGTTACTTTCACATGTTGCTGTCAGTATGGCTTTCTCTTTTGCTACACAACCAATCTTTCAGATATGAACATTGTGAAGGACTTGCAGCTGCTGCTGTTTTACATCTAACTCTACCACCTCTAACTAAACCAATCCACCAATATTACATTATTTTTAGTCTGCTGCTGAGAAGAGATAATTTAATATGTGTGAGCAGCCTTATGGCTGTAATCCTTAATGACACTGATATAGATACCAAAAATAGTTGCCTATATTTTTCTTGGGCTGAAATGTGTGCTCCTTATTTATTGTTGTTATTATATATATATATATATATATATATATATATATATATATATAGTGACAGTGGTAATTGCCAAGAGCTTGCCTCCTCCTCCTCCTCCTTCTTCTTCTTCTTCTTCTTCTTCTTCTTCTTCTTCTTCTTATTATTATTATTATTATTATTATTTATTCTACCCTATCTCCTTGAGGGGACTCAGGGTGGATTCCAACAAACAAAGAAGGCAAACATTCAATGCCCCAGTGCACAACAGATACAAACATAATAACCCAAAATATCCCCACTTATAACAGCAACTTGATATCTATAAATTGAATAAAATGTAACAAATACTGCTGACTGTTCACCAATATCCAGTTAGTGTGGTTTCCGAGATAGAAATACCATTAGCTCTTTCCCTAAGATGGTATCTTTTCTTGTATCTCTCTCCTTGACCTCATTTTCCTTTCTGGAAAGGCCATATATGGTTCTACTTTAAATTTCTGGAATAAAACAATTTTTGGCATATGCTCTATCCAATTTAGATGTAAGCCTTGTTGCTTCAGCTGTTAGTGGGTAAATCAAGCCAGGTTACAGAGAAGAGATGAAGCTGCTGGCCTATTCTTCTCCCAAGCCATAAGTGTGTGACTTCACCCCTTTTGTTTATGGCACCTATTGCTAGGTATTCTCTTTGTATTGCCACGTGGAACACATTTTTCTTCCTAACAAAGGTATGGGTGATCTGTCCGATATCGTGGAAGATTTGGACAAGCAATTTGTCTTCTGTGATTTAAAAAATATTGCCCAAAATGGCCAAATCTAGTTTTCTTATTCACAAGTATACGTAGAATTTTTGGGGGCCGATTTGCATCTTCAGATCATTGCAGGGAGAATATTCTGCCATTTCCATAGAAGTTAAAATCCAAAACTGAAAATGCTTTGCTCTCTGAAACACCATTGACATCTAGAGAGCTTATGCTGGCAAAGAACTTGAAAAGGGATATGGTTAGTTTCCCAGGAGAGGAGGAGGCAGGGAGACATTGGAATCAGTGGCAGATGCTGACATATGAAATAAGACAAGTCTGACAAGAAGGCACTATCAATCATTATAGGTCAGTGGATAAAGCTCATACTGAATCTGCCTCAGAAGAGAGCAAGCCAGGCCATTTTTATCTTCTCTAAGGAGGTGCTGCTGAGTTGAATAATAAAATATCATTTCACCTGTCTATCTGTTACAACTCTGATTCATTAAATTTGGCCTGATTACAGGAAGCAGGTTCTAACTAACAAGTGCAGCACTGATGTATTCCCAAGACTTGCAACGGTTTCTCCCCATCAGCTACATGTTTTGGAAATCAAACTTTCCCATAGTTCAGTGGTTCTCTACCTATGGGTCCCCAGATGTTTTAGCCTTCAACTCCCAGAAACACTAACAGCTGATAAACTGGCTGGGATTTCTGGGAGTTGTAGGCCAGAACACCTGGGGACCCACTGCCTTAGCTGAAATGACTTGAAAACACACAACAACAACAATCCTATCTCATCAGCCAAAAGCAGGCCCACACTTACCACTGGAATACTAATAAGTTTATATTTGTTAAAATTGTTCTTCATTTTAATTATTGTATTGTTTTTAAATGTGTTTTGCACTACAAATAAGATATGTGCTGTATGCATAGGAATTAATTCATGTTTTTTCTAAAATTATAATCTGGCCTTTCAACCGTTTGGGGAACTGTGACCTGGCCTTCTGTTTAAAAAGTTTGAGGGCCCCTGGTTTATAGTCTCTATGTTTTTCTTTTACTTTCTGTTTTTCTTTATTCTTTCCCTCTTTACCACCACAGGATTGGATGTACGTAGATCTCTCACTTCTCTTCCCACCTTGGATTCTCATTTCCCGATGTGTGCTTGGGGTAGCAAGGCTTCTAAGCCTTTCTTCAAGAAATGAATGAATGCCGTGTGAACTCAGACTAGACATGTTTGCTATAACTTGTTCTCTTTCAATTTCATCAGTAACTAAACGGGTCATCATGTAGTCCATCAGCACATCAACTCATATTTTGATTCATCTATTTAGAACACTTGTGTTATTAAAGATATATTGTATATTGATTTTTGGATAGGGCTAAATTTAAAATTAATGTTGGTGATGGTTGTTTCACTCTATTGCTGTGTATTGTTTTGTTTGTATCTCTTCTAGTGGAGTAATTTGTTATTATTTACTGTCGTGTTTTAAAAACAAAATAAAAAAGAGAAATGAATGCAGTATGGGAATAAAATCACCAATATTGGATCCTTATTTTCTTTTGCCTTGCTGAGACACATATAGTAGTGAAGTGTAAGCACATCCAGAAAGTTATCAAACAAATGCTCTGTAATCATGCCACTTTGAGGGGGCAATAAAGGCATATTTGCCAGTTATTTGTTTACAGCAATGGTTCCCAAACTTTTTTTGACCAAGGACCACTTTGACCAGGGACCACTCTTCAAAATTAGTACCATAAGGGTTACAAATCAATTTTTGGTCAACTTTAAATCCGGTTTGGTTATTTGGGGTGCTGATTCAGAAAATTGCATTGAATAGACCACATCAGCTCTAGTTTCCGATATAGAACATATGCCATCCAGTAGTTGCCATCTGCTCAACCTCAGAAAACCATATTTAATAACCTTGAGACTAAATGTGGTCTATCCAATGCAATTTTCTGAATCAGCACCCCAAATAACCCCAGGAACAGGCCTAAAAACGAAGAAACCAAGGCACTTCCGGGTGCCACATGGAATGGGTCTGCTCAGGGGGAGAGAGGAGACGCAGCAGTCAGGAGCCATGTTGTTGTTCCTTTCGTAGGTAATCAGCCTCTCCCCTCCTGACATTCCCCTTGCCTCGGCAGTATAAGAGGGTTTCACAAGACCAGTCGCTCTTGTTTCAACGATGTAGCAATGGTGAGGCTGCGGACCATATTTTAGTTCTTGGGGATCACAGGTTGGGAGCCACTGGTTTACAGGCTCTCACTTCCATGCCCAAACTCAGAGATTGTAGTCTTCGAGGACTCGATTACCGTGTGCTTTGAAACAAGCCCTGTACAAAGCCTTAGATCAAGCTTGCTCTTCTAATTCTTGGCCTTAATGCATAAGAAATTTTGACCCAAAAAGGAGGACAAATGTAAAAAAAGAAGAGAAGGCTAAGGATGGCAAGCTCAAATCAGCAGATTCTTGATGAATTCCAATACATTGCTGTAACATCCTGTACCACAACCATCTTTGGTCTCAGCTTTCCATTCCCTACATCAGATAGTCTGAGAAACACTACCCTAATAAATCTGGTTTATGTTACATTTGGAGAGCAAACAAGGCTTTGAGTAACTGCATATGTTTCTTTTTTCAAAATTTCTAGGTCGACAGATTCCACCCTTGGAAACTCACGAAAATGGTAACAGTGGAACAATCAAACTTGGAAAGCAGACTACACAGATGACTAGGCGATGCTGTTAAAACCAACTTGAACTGGCTTGATTTACTTGAAAATAACATGAAAAGATTTGCTTATTTATGGAGCGACCGACTTCAGAAACTAAGTGACAAATATACCTTCTCTGAAAGCAATAACATCAATAACTATCAATGGGAACATTAGGAGAAAGTGCTTCAGTTTGGTTTTGCAAAGATAAAATGGACAATTCACTTTAGCCATGATCCTTGATCTACTTTTTAAAGTAATCTTTTAAAACTAATGTCTGTTTTAAATAGGCATTTTTGTCTCAAAATAATTCATCAAGCAAATGATACACTTTATATAAAAACTCTTTTTCTTTTGTTTACAACACGTTTTATATTGATCTTTATGGAACTACAGTGTATAGTATTTTAACTAAGCGAAGGATGTGTACGATTTTTATCTTCTTTTCTTACTAGATGTGGCTTCAACAGCTTTGTAGAAAAGTAACTTTTTAGAGATCAGATAGAGATGTTTCAGTCCCAAATAGAAAACTCTAGATTTTTTTTTACAAATAACAATAAAATTCTGATAATTTTAGTTTGTAGCTTTTATTTCTTCTATATTTGGAAAAGAAGAATCACAGCACTTTTAGATACATTAGGAACATTTACATGGAAGACAATGAACATGACAAATGTTTTCATTTAACATAAAAGTTATGGTGGCAAAAATGACAACAGATACTGTAGCAAAAGGCCAAAAAGGATAAAATAAAGTACTTTTTATAGAATTAATTTCCATTTAAAACCCGTCTGGCAGGTATACGATACTATCTGGATCTATCAGTGATTGTCTTTTTCTATTCTACGTGGATTAATATGATGAACTTCTAATGCAATTAATATTTACATTCTTGCTCTGTCCATTTTCATTTGAATGACAGGATTGACAGAACATGTGCATGTGCCCTTTTCATAAGTGTGTTCTAAAGCAGCTTGAAAAGAATCCTGGCTTGGATTCAGAGATTGATATGTGTATCTTTGTTATTTTTCATGCTATAGTTGCCTACATTCCTTAAAACCAATCCAAAGGATAAATGAGTCCTCTGGGAGGCTGTGTGATAGAGCACTATGGGCTATTTCGGATGCAGAAGCTGGGAAAATTCAGCAGAGCTTTCTTGTACAAGTAAAAGTGGCATTCTGCCCATTCCAGACATTGCCAGCCATTGTGCTGGCATCTGATACTGATGAAATATTTGGAAGTAGACGATCATTCTTATGGCTTCAGGAAGAACAATGTGTTTCCAAACTATAAACAGAGTGGAAGTAACTACTCAGTACTGGTGTTTGTAAATTGCAGATTACTTCTGTAGTCCTGTCACAATTTTTGCTTGAACCTGTTGCAAGTAATAAAGTAAATAGCACTAATATTAGTGTTACACCTGTGAGTTGAAGCCAATTGATGTAGCACAACTTTATGCACAACTTTGCTGGTCATAACTGTAGGTGATAGGACTAGGAGATAGATACTGTTACCAATTAGATCAAAAGGTTCCAGAATCAGTTTATAAAGACAATGCTTTTCCGGTTGAAAAATACATAAACACTTCATGTTGGTAGTTTTTATAACATGTTCTCTGCCAGATAAATTGAGAAAAGTCAGTTTTGTTGTCCTTGTATTAACATTAAAATAGATAAAGGCTCATAAACTACTATTCACACAACAATAAAATACTCCATTTAGAACAGGTTATGAATGAAAACCCTGACGATTTGCCTGCATCTATGGCAGGTATCCTCAGAGGTTGTGAGTTCTGCATACTTAATATTCTTCAGACCTCACAACCTCTGAGGATGTAAGTTTTTCGGGCTGTATGGCCATGTTCACCTGCATCACAACCTCTGAGGATGCCTGCCATAGATGCAGGTGAAACGTCAGGAGAGAATGCTTCTGGAACATGGCCATATAGCCCGTAAAACACACAACAACACAGTGATTCTAGCCATGAAAGCTTTTGTCAATACATATAAATGAATTGTTTGTAAATTATATAGCATTTAAAAAAAATGACCACAGGGTTATTTTCACTGCATACCACATCAATTGTTTTAAAACCATATGATTGGGAAGCAACCAAAAAGGTTACATAATTATAATTCAATCAACTGCTTGAGCGAGTATGTTAATATTAATGAAAAATGCAAAGTTGTATGGTCAGATTTTCTTTTGCGTGCACTAGTCAAAGAGAAACAAAATAGTTCTGTGTGAGATTGAGAAGGGAAAGCCAATTTTGTTATTATTATTTTTGCACTGTTTCGCAGATTAAAGAAAAAGGAATGCTAAAAGCACACATAAGTAGAAACAACAAAGTTTCTTGTTCACTCATAGGCGTTATCTGTCCTTTGAATAGATGATATGCCATGTATCCTGTGACTAAAACTATCCCTTTTGGAGTTAAGATTGCCAAATAGCAATCTATGTTTCTCCCTTTCTTTTCCTAGTGCTATTGCTGGTATGAAACTGCAGTTATCTTTTTATGCATGGAGTTTGTGTCAATCTTTTTCTGCCATGGAATAGCTTGTCATACCTTGGCTATCTTACTGCTCGCAAGATTGACAAAAGAAATCAATGATAAGGAAAATAGCAGCAATTTTAATCAGGGAATAGTATTTCCCTGATGAGAAATAAAAGGTTCATGAAATTGCCTTAGGGCTCGTTATGTACAAATTCTAATTAGGATGAAAAGAGTCCCAATATGAACCTTCAAATGGAGACACAGCAAAACCTACTATAGAATACAGATAGAAAAAACATGATTTTACCGTTACAGTACAATCCTATGCATTTTTTAAAAAATACATTCCAATGTCTTTGATGACAAGCATGCTTAGATTTGGAATCTCAATGACTTTTATGTTAAATATTTTATGCAATGATGCCTTCCAGTTCTTATAATGTGTAAAATAGAAGTTAAAACCTAGGTCTAAGTAATTGTAAGAAAAATATGTTTCTATCTGCCAGCTTCTAATGTATTGCAGGCTAGGGTTCAACCCTCAATAATAATGGTAAAATATTGCTGATGGGAAAAACGGGATTAATACATAACCAGTTGTAAGATAATGGTTTGCTGTGAGTTTTCCAAGCTGTATGGCCATGTTCCAGAAGCCTTCTCTCCTGACGTTTCACATACATCTATGGCAGGCATTCTCATAAGTTGAAGGATCTGTTGGAAACTAGGCAAGTGAGGTTTATATATCTGTGGAATGTCCAGGGTGGGAGAAAGAGCTTTTCAGCTTGAGGCAGGTGTGAATGTTGCAAATAGCCATCTTGATTAGAATTTAATTGCCTTGCAGCTTCAATACCTGGCTGGTTGCTGCCTGGAGGAATCCTTTGTTAGGAGGTGTTAGCTGGCTCCAGGCAGCAACCTGCCAGGCATTGAAGCTGCAAGGCCAAAAACTCTAAAATCTGGACAGTAAACAAAGAACCCTCAGAAAACGGGAATTCCAGGCAGGAAACAATCAGGGTCAGCTAATATCTCCCAACAAATGATTCCTTCAGGCAGGAAGCAGACAAGCTTTGAAGCTACAAGGCTATTCACTGCTAATCAAGGTGATCAATTGCAACATTCACACTTGTCTCCAACAGTCAATAGTACTTTCTCCCACCTTGGACATTCCACAGATATATAAACCTCACTTGTCTAGTTTCCAACAGATCCCTCAACCTCTCAGGATGCCTGCCATAGATGTGGGCGAAACATCTGTCATGCTTCTGGAACATGACCATGTCGCCTTGAAAACTCACAGCAAACTAGTAATTCCGGCCATGAAAGCCTTGGACAACACAGTTGTAAAGTTGCTGCATTAATGTGTTTAAATAACCAATTAAATCTTTCCTGAAACCTGTCAGAATGGTGGTAGGGAGCTCTCTAGTTACATGACCTTCCCTGAAACTCCATTTTGCTATAGTTAAGGGAGAGAAAAATGGATTTCTCAATGCCTAATTCACTTATATTATCGAACTATATCTCTTTCATAGTAGTCACACTTTTCCAATGTAGCAGAGCTCATGTTATGCATACCTAAGTAGTCTAAGACAGTTTTAGAGGGATGAGGTGGTGCTGCAAGGGCTTATGGTGTTTTGTATCTAAGAAGCAGGTACATGAACAATAATCTCCAGGCACTAATCGCACATCTATATTTTCTGTAAAATGAATTTGTTCTGGAATCTCCTGTAGCTATGACTGACGAAAGGTGGACTTCAGATGACACAAATTACTCTCTCCCCTAGAGTGGATAGAAGAAATTAAGTAGCTTGCAATCCATTTCTAGATTTCAGTAATGGGCATTTGGGGGAATTGTAAGCAGCACATGGGGATCTTTCACACTATAATTATAGCACTCTGATTCTAATTTAATTCCCATGGCAACCCCCATGGAGCTTGCAATTTAGGGAGAGTTATTTAGAATTCTTATCCAGACTGCTCTAAAACCAACATGTATTATGATGTTTCGGTGACAGTTAAAAAGGAATCATGACACCATCATTGAAAGGGACCTTTGAGAAAAAGGTAAATTGCTTCTCCTGGTACTTGATTTTTCTCATGCTTGACATTGAGGATAGCTAGTTCCTGTGAGGGTGACAGCATGCTGAGTGGCACCTTCATGCCAACCTAGTGTCATTTCAGGACATATGTGATAGTCACTCATAGCCTGTTAAATTCAGTTAGGATTCTAAGAGTGTCTACATGTTTATGGAGGCAATCCTGCATGTGTTTAAGAGCCATTGAAAAGTTACAGGTCTTTAGGACCCAATGAGGTGGATTGAATGCATCCACATCAGAATGCAACCCACATACTCAGTTTTATCTAACTGATATTTCTGTTCTCAGGCAATGATATTCTTTCAAGTACGTACAAAATTGAAACTAGGCTAAATCCAATATGTTATTACTTGGTGGCATTGGAACTTTCTTCTCCTCTCTCCTGCATCCTTCTGCTGTGCCACAAATCTATTCCAAAAACAAGCAGGTAAATAATGACATGTGGAGATACTCATTTGATTTTTTTTCTACACATCAGCTTGTGACTAGAGTGCATTATGCTTTCAATACACACAAGCTAACACTAGTTTGTGTGCTCTAAAGACATAGTCAAAAGCATATGTATGAATAAATGCCCCACTGAAATGATAATTCATATTTGAAATAATTTGGGATAAATAATTGCTTTAGGCATGAATCAAAATACTGTTGCGTGTACATAAAGTAAGACTTAATAGTGGGGTTTGATGGGAAAAGCAGAACTATCCCCATTCACAGACTCTTTATTCTTGTAGGAAAATGTTGGAGATCAACATTTCTATCATCCATTTTCCTCCAAACCTACTCAACACAAGGACTGAATGCCAGCGGAAAATATTCCTCTACCTGCCAGGGCATGAGCATATTTCACTTCCTTCTCAATCAATACAAAGGGTCTTGTGACATAACTTCCCCGCTGCCAGTTCCCTTCTGTTTGCTTATGTAAAAACCACAAAGAGCTGTTTTCGCCCTTAGGAGTGGCAGGGTTTCGGTGTACAGGCACCTGTACTTTCTGTGTAGACATATATCAAGTACAGTATATTCTGGCGTATAAGACTACTTTTTAACCCAAGAAAATCTTCTCAAAAGTCAGGGGTCGTCTTATATGCGGGTGTAGTCTTATGCCTGGGAGTCGTCTTAACTCTATATTTTAACTGGAAAAGTTGGGGGTCGTCTTATACGCCCAGTCGTCTTATATGCCGGAATATACGGTACATATTTTTGTATTACATGATCATTGTTTAAATCCAAAACCAGTGTAATGCTTTGTGCTCAGTACTATCAGTCTGCATTGTTTCTGCAAGAGTTTTGAATGGGCTGGACCCATCATTAATTTTGTATGGGATGTTGTAATCTGTTAATATTGTTTGTTCTATGTTATAGTTGTATGGACACAAATAAGATTTCTGCTTCAGTCCGCTCTTTTTATTGAATCTATAATGGGTAATACTAATAAACATCCTTAACTTTTGTGACTCTTGGCCTTCATTAGAGAACAAAAAAATAAAAGTGATTGCAGAACGGAACAGTAAGCATTTATACTTGGTGAATTTTCCCCTGTGAAATGCTATTAAAAGTCTATGAAGTCTGGTAGCATAAAATATTTATTTATTTATTTCCAACATTTCTACCTTGTCCTTCTCAACCCCCGGAGGGGGACTCAAGGCGGCTTACAACGGCAGCAGTTCGATGCTGACAACATACAACACATTACGTACAACATTAGATTAAAATATATTTAAAACATTATTACTATTATCATGTAGCTGAATCAAAGCCTGATTTAGCAACCGACGACCCAGTCCAAAGCCTGTCATAGTCAAAATTCCACATTATGATTATTGCTAAATCTACTGTCCAAAGGCCTGGTCCTAAACCAATGTTTTGAGCTGCTTTCTAAAAGAAAGGAGGGATGGAGCCAACCTAATCTCACTAGGGAGAGCTTTCCACAGGCATGGGGCTACCCAAGAGAAGGCCCCGTCTCTCGTCCCCACCAAACGCACTTGCAAAGAGGGTGGGACCGAAAGCAGGGCCTCCCTGGATTATCTTAAATTCTGAGGCGGGACGTAGAGGGGGACAGGTTTGGACAGGTAAGCTGGGCTGGAACTGTACAGGGCTTTATAGGCCAAGACCAGCACTTTGAACTGTACTCGGGAATGAGCCGGCAGCCAGTGGAGCTGACGTAGCAGATGGGTGGTATGTTCTCTGTATGTTGCTCCAGTTAGTAATCTGGCTGCCGCCTGTTGGACTAGTTGGAGTTTCTGAACAGCCTTCAAAGCCAATCCCACATAGAGTGTGTTGCAGTAATCTATTTGGGATGTAACCAGAGCATGGACCACTGTGGCAAGATCAGATTTTCCAAGGTACGAGCACAGCTGGTGCACAAGTTTTAACTGTGCAAAAGCTCCCCTGGCCATCGCCAAGACCTGGGGTTCCAGGCTCAGTGATGAATCCAGGATCACTCCCGAGCTGGGAACCCTAGTCTTCAGCGGGAGTGTAACCCCATGCAACACAGGCTGAACCCTATGCCCTGTTTGGCCTTTTGACTGACCCGGAGGACCTCCATCTTGTCTGGATGCATATAGATACATATTTGTCGTTTCCATATACAATCTTTATATAGTGTGCAGATTTTTATTATTTAAACACTAGTTGAAATAATTTTCATTTACTATGGACATCTTTTTGGGCACAATTTCTTCTCCACTTTTAAAAATAAAACAGAAATGTTTGCATACTCAAATGTCGTTTTTGAAATATGAGTATACTATCATACACAAATTTATTTGGGAGCAGGTTCCATTATACTAGTGGGAACTGCTTCCACATAAGCATCGAATCAGGCAGCAAGTTTGCCAGGGAGGAATTGAACAACCTATTTTACATCAGCATGTAGTAGTAGGGCGCTGTGGTGGCATAATGGGTTAAACCATTGTGCTGGCTGAACTGCTGACCTGAAGGTTGGCGGTTCAAATCTGCAAGATGGGGTGAGCTCCCGTATGTTATCCCCAGCTTCCCAACTCTGGGGGTTGGTGCTCATCTCCATTTCTAAGCCAAAGAGCCAGCGTTGTCCATAGACACTTCCAAGATCATGTGGTTGGCATGACTGCATGGAGCACCATTACCTTCCTGCTGGAGCGGTACCTATTGATCTACTCACATTTGCATATTTTCAAACTGCTAGGTTAGCAGAAGCTAGGGCTGATAGAGGAAGCTCACGCCGCTCCCCAGAATCGAACCTGTGACCCACCCTGGACACTCCACAGATATATAAACCTCACTTGCCTAGTTTCCAACAGAACTCACAAACTCTGAGGATGCCTGCCATAGATGTGGGCAAAACGTCAGGAGAGAATGCTTTTGGAACATGACCATACAGCCCGGAAAACTCACAGCAACCCAATGATTCCAGCCATGAAACCTTCGACAACAAAATGAAACAGTAATATATAATATTAGTCCTATATAATATTTGGAATAATATTTGGAATAATATTTGGAATAATATTTTTGTAATATTTTAGACTATTTGGAACAATTTTTGGAATAATTTTTGTAATATTTGGAATAATTATAGTAATAATCATGTGTGTGTGTGTGTGTGTATCCCACTGTCTTAGTTTCCAACAGACCTCACAACCTCTGAGGATACCTGCCATAGATGTGGGCAAAACTTCAGGAGAGAATGCTTCTGGAACATGGCCATGCAGCCCGGAAAATTCACAGCAACCCAGTGATTCTGGCCATGAAAGCCTTCGACAACACAATGGGAACATATTTCTCTTGTTCTTTGAAGCAAAAGCACAATGTAGTGCAAATAATCTGTATATTAGTTCTTTATGCCTTTTTTTTTGCTTTCAGGTTCTAACCAGTTTGATTTTATGTGTGTGAGTGCAAATTGTTCCTTTAAAAAGTATTTGAACAAATTGACATTGCCAATTGTACCATTTTTAAAAGACATTTGTTATTTTTCAGTGATTGAGTACTTGGCAGGTTCAAATCTTCAGTGGCTCATCCAAATCTGTTGAATATACGGACTACCTACCGGAATGGAGAAACATAATCACCTTTAGACTATTAAATAGCAAGTTCACCTTCAAGACTCTTTTCCCCCTTCTTTTTATTTTACAATCTCACATAAACATATCTGTACCTCTGAAAGCATAGCCAGATTTAGAACCTATACTTATTCATTGAGATTTAATAGCACAAATCATTTAGGGTTTTCAGACAGAGAAGAAACTCTGGTGCAAATGACAAAAAAAAAATTGAAAAAGAAGATGCCAGGTCATACTTCTGAAAGAAATGGCACAGAAAGGAAAAATATTTCTGCTTCCCTTATTATACTGCCAGTGACTGGGGAAAGACGGTGCCTGTCACAACATTTCCTTTTATGTATCTCTTAATGATATCGTCTGGATCTGGTCATCTCAAGGAGGTAATAATGTGAAACAGAAACAGCTGTTCCTAAGCCTTGCCTCAAGATTTTTAAAGACTGTTTAAGGAGAGATAACAAATACTACAAAATAAATGTAAAATCTGAAGGAAGGAAGAGTTCAAGCCATCACACACTGTATTGGTTTCAAGCTACAATCTAGCAAGTTCTCATTAGTATCATCCACACTGTGGCCCTATGAATAATTCAAGAGAAGACAGATTCCATCTATAAAAACTATACAAGCTGACCGAAAAGAATAAATATTTTATAAATCAAGTCAAATAAGAATGCAAGAATTGTATGCCATGGTATATAGTACCAGTTGGATGTAACTGTACAAGATTTTTTAAAAATTCAATTGATCTTAATTCTCCTGTTGCCAGGTTAAACATACATAATTACAAAGTCATTTCACAAAAACCAGAATAGTAACAGTAGATATCCTGGAAACAGTTTTCCTAATATTGTAAGCGAATGCTGTGAAGCTGATACTTATTTCGATGTGAACACCACTGAAAATTGATAATTATTTTCTAAGTATATATGCATAGGATTGCACTCCATATCTTGTTCACAGTTAAGGTAAAGGTTTCCCTAGTCGTGTCTGACTCTGGAAGGTGGTGCTCACCTCCATTTCTACACTAAAGAGCCGGCATTGTCCGTAGATGCCTCCAAAGTCAGGTGGCCAGCATGACTACATGGAGTGCTGTTATCTTCCCGCCATAGTGGTACCTACTGATCTACTCACATCTGCATGTTTTTGAACTGCTAGGTTGGCAGAAGCTGAGGCTAACAGCAGGAGCTCACCCCACTCCCCAGATTCGAACTGCTGAGCTTTCAGTCAGCGAGTTCAGAAGCTCAGTGGTTTAACCCGCTGCGCCACAGGATCATACAAATATCACCCGCTAATAATAATAATAATAATAATAATAATAATAATAATAAGGTTTTTGTGGGTTTTTGCGGGCTATAGAGCCATGTTCTAGAGGCATTTCTCCTGACGTTTCGCCTGCATCTATGGCAAGCATCCTCAGAGGTAGTGAGGTCTGTTGGAATTAGGACAATGGGTTTAATATCTGTGGAATGGCTGGGGTGGGGCAAGGAGCTCTTCCCTGCTGCAGTTAGGTGTGAATGTTTCAGCTGATCACCTTCATTAGCATTTGAAGGCCTGC